TAATGAGACCTGTCTGTAGCTGATATCTCAGTGACTCTTAGTTATTGTGAGGATTGTTTTGAAGGGAGAGGCATTTTTAATTTTTAAACATTTTTAGAACTTCAGATTGTAAATTTGATTGAATCCTGGCTTTGTCCAAGTTGATGAGAAAATTTCCTTCTGAAGGAGCTGTGTGTGGGATCCCTGTTTATATAGAGGTCAGTTCTCCATTGCTTCTTAATGCAGATTTTTGTGGTGCCTGTCTCCAGGGTGTCTCAACCTTCCTTTAAAGCTGAAATGGGAAGTTAGTCATGAGATCTGTGGTTGTTACAAGCCAGATGTTATTTTTTTCTTTTTTTGTCCTTACTTTGCAATTAGAAGGACAGAAGGCAGTTTCTTCAGTGTATTCATTCTTAGGGTGCCATTTCCTCATGTGAAGTGCTGTCTAGTGTTCTTGTTTTGTTTGTATTTTCAAATTCCTAGAGTCATAAAGGATTTTTGTATGGTTTATCTAATTTTGCACATACTTAGGAAGCCCTGTGTATTAACATAGCAGAGAAAGACTCTGCATAGTCAAGACTAAAAAAGCTCTTGCAGCAGTGTGCATGATTATGGGGCTGCTGTTTAGTCATCAGTCATGATATGTGTAGATTTCTTTTGTGAATCTAACATTTATTCCATTTCAGATGTAAAAAAAAAAATAAAAATACATGAAGAGATTAGTTACTCTGCACAATAGAGCTTGACCCTCAATCTGTTAAAAGCTATTATAATATCAAGGCTACAGACTGACAGCCTAAGCAGGGATGTGTTTACAGGGTACTACAGCTCTCTCCAGTTTGGAAAAGTGCTTGGAGGACCAGGACCTGTGTGCAAAGATATAAATGGGACATCCAGATTTAAATTAAAGAACTAAATTTTTGTGCATTAGCTTTTTCTGCTGGGACAAATGTGTTTGGAACAATAGACAGACGAATATACCAAATGCCTATTTGTAATGGGAAAATGGTTTTCTTTTTTAATATATTGCTCATATTTTTTCTGCTTTATTATTTTTTATCATCCTGTAAGCTGCTGCAAATCAGCCAGAAGCAGCTCAGTTGTTGCTTGCCTACAAATGAGTTGCCAGCATCCTGTAATGCTGCTAGCCTGAAATACAGTCTCATCTCCTTTGCAGTAATGAGAGCCAAGTGGGGTGGTTCCCGGGAGCAGGAGTGTGGGTGGAGACACTGTTGTCTGTGGCATTCTGCTCTCCATTCTGGCGCTCTTAAAATCCTCGCACCTAAATCTGCTGCTAAGGGATTTTGGGAGAACAGAGAATGTGTTTTCCGGGGTTAAAGGGTAAAAGTCTGGAATTAGTCATGCTTACATTGGTTCCTTGTATTTATCAGAAACATCTGATACAGTTTCAGATTTTTGAATCCATTTTGCTGACCAGGGGACATTCTGAAGCTCTAGCTACTTATTCTGGCAAACTAATAGTGGCTCACTTACTGTGAATTACATTTCTGCTTCTTTCCTTCCTCTCTACCCCACCCACTTTGCTTATCTTGCTACAATGTGGTTTATAACTGATATTTTGTAAGTGTGCTAGGAGGCTTATGAAGAAGAAAAAGAATAAAGGGAAACCTGTAGTTGGTTCCTTGAGTGATTAGTGAACACCTTGATTCTCAGTAATTATAATAATTATTTTATATTTATTCACTTCTTGCCACTTGTTTCCTGGACTGGTATGCTCTTGATCATCATGAGTCAGTGGCTGTGGTGCTGAAGCCCTTGGGTTTCCTGTGAATGAGGGTTTTTCCAAAGAATAGCAGGATCTGTTCCTTGAAGTGCAACATAACTCCCGAGGGCATGTTCTCAGTTTCTGAAACTTATCCAATCTGCTCAGTGCCACTGTCACCTTTTGCATAAGCCAAGGTGTTATACCTTTGTGTATATTTGATGTTATATGTACACCAACATCAGGTAAAACAAAACAGAAAAACAGATTAGGGGGTGTAATAGCGGAACTCTGAGAACTGGAAAAATAAATCTTCTGTATGCCTGAATGTTATCCAGGCACGTGGCTTGATAAATCTGCTATAATCCTTTGAAGAAAAAAGAACAAAATGAGGGAGGTCATCCCCATCAGATGTTAGAAAAGTAGGTTTGTGTAGAGAAAGACCATGTAGTAAAGTACAAAGCAAATGGTTGCAGGAAAGGTTTATACAGCCTTAGCAGGGAGGTTCAATATCAATGCACTGATGAGAAAAAAATGTTTTTTCTACTTCTTTGAAGCAACAACTCTGCTTTCCTTGTTGTCTGTGATAGACTTGAAAGATAGTTCCCTGTTTTTGGTAAAAGTTAAGGTCTGTAGCTGTTTTCAAGTTGTTGTATAATATTCATATGCCATGATTTGCTTTGCTTTCAGGCAGATGAATGTCTTGATTGATGGGTATCAGTACAGTTTTCAGTGACAGGGACTGTCTAGGTAGTTTTAAATCCCATGATGGAATGATAATCACTGCCTTAAGTAGGAAGCTTTTTCTATATTTTACTTCCTTCCCCTCTGTGCTCTAATTATACTCTGGTAGATGGTGGTTTGCATCCTCCAGGCAACAAAAGGGAAGCTGGGAGTGCTTGTTTCAGCTGAACCCCCCCAGGCAATGAAGTGCCTGGCTCCTGGAAAGCACCAGCCACTGGCTGCAGCAGTGCTCGTCCTAGGAACAGATTCGCTTGTGGTTCGAGTCCAGTGGTTTCACTCCGGTTACTCGAGGGGGATATTTAGCCCTCTTGGTAGTGCAAGCAATCCCAGGAGCAGAGTGTAAGAATGCCTTTAAGCTTCTGGAGCGCTGTTGGTGTGCCTGGCATATGCTTAAGTTTGACTGTGCTCATTGTGAGTTGTGAAAGCAATAGAAACTTTGAAAGGTCCTTTTAACGTTATCATGAAACATTAGTAAGAGCCACGAACTGAAAGATGAAGAGGTTCCAGGAAAATGAGCTAAGCTTTAATCCATGCTTGTGGATGTCACGTCCCTGCCAGAGACCCTGGCTGCTCTTGTAATTGCAGTTGCCTTTCTGAGTGGCTCCTCAGGGGAGCTGGAGGAAGCAGATGAAACTGAAGCATCGTCGGGTCACCAGAGTCAATGTCTAGTTTTGAGCACCCTGGCAGAAACGCTGTCCCCGCAAGAGAGAAATTTAATTCCTTGCAACCAGTGGGTGGTAATTCTAGTTTCTCTACACCACTTAAAATCTGGAAAAATAATTAGATCCTCAATTTCAGGGCAGAGGGGTTTTTTAATTTTTTTTTTTTTAGCGTGTTCTGCTATCCTCGTGTAGTAATTATACAGTGATGTCAGCTGGAATCGATAATGAAGGCAAAATTTGGGAATAGTAACAGGATGTGTTACTGCTATTGATCAAAGGCTACAGGGCTGTTTTTAAACACTGCTCCTCTCTTTGATCTTTTTTTCCTATTGATTGAGCAGAGTAGATGAACAACTGTCTGTGCAACATGAGCATTTATTATGGCTTTTAAGCTGACTAAGGACAGCTTTGAATTAAATATGAGAGTTTAAATGATGGTTTTCTAATAGGTGCTGTCTATAAAGACTGGCGTGACAATACAGTTTCATGTAAGCAGGGTGGAAGGAAATGTAAATACAGGCATTCTTTTTCTTTCTTACTCAAGAAAATAACATATTGCAAAACTGATTATAGGGGAGGCAAAGTGCTATTTTTAGTATGTAGTTATGTGTAGGCAAAAGCTGCTTTTCTATTTTTTTAATATATAGTTATGTGCATCATGCTGTTAACAAACTGTATTGTCTTATCTTGGCATTTTGTTTGTGTTGTGTAAATTAGTCATCTTAAAATGTGGATACAAATGGAGCTACCAGGTACAATCTGGTAGTTCTGCAATCACTTCAATGAAATTAATAGAAAACTTTCCATTGACTGTTTAATGAGTTAGATTGGACCCTGGGCTGTCATTGTTAATGCCTTGGAAAGGTCAGTATTGATTTCCTGGCATCCTTTTTGTCTCTAAGGAGGCTCTTTGCAATTCTGTGGAAGACACAGCGATAATGTTACTCCTCTTCCTTGATAATTCCCTGTATAATTTAAGTTCTACCTACCATCCAAGGCTTTGGGCAAGAACAGACAGACTGAAAAATGTTGCATTTTAGGGAAGTTGTTTATATTTTAGATACCCAAATAATATTTCTGTATAATTTCAAATTTTCTCCTGCCACTTCAGGTTATTTTGAATTTTATTTCACTATTATACTGCTGTTATTTTTCCCTACTGATTTGATATGTTGAAAGAAAAAAAAAAAGACTCTTCCTGCAAATGGAATCAGTCTGCCATGTTGCAGTGTAGAAAATAATGTGTGTTGCCTTTAAAGTAATGCACTGCAGACCTCTAGCATGGCATGCACAGGGAGAGCTGCACATCTCTGGGGATCCAGATCTTTGCATTCCTACCTTTTCAAAACCACCCAAAGCCTCTGCAAAGTTTCCACTAAGTGGGTAGTTTGTCTTGCCATGAAAAGGTTATTTTCACTAAATCAGTGCTGTCAGTGTGCTGAAATGTTGGTATTAGTCTGTTTTGGAAGCTCGCTTGGGCTGGCTGTGCAACAGGCCTGAATGAAATTGTTTCTCTGGCTCTGCTGTGTGATGCACCATGTGTTGGAAAGCACAGGGTTTGCTTGTACAAGTAAATGGCTCTGCTGGATGGACTGCAGTACTTGCAACAGGAATATAAATCCACTATAATAAAATAAAATAGAGGGCTTGGAGAGAAGGGAGTCCTGGGAAGAGGGCCAGGGAGATTCACTTGTAATGCTGATGTTTGAAAAGGATAAGCCATGTCCTTACTTCTTACTTACTTCTGAAATGTGTAATGTGCCCCACTTGCCACAGACAAGAAGAAAGAGTCAAATATTAATTCTTGAAAATAAATCAAGTGAAGTATTGACATCTAGGGTCTCCTGGATATGACTTCATTAACTCACTGTCATGCTTTCTTTGATTTTCAGGATACCGGGGTTGGGAAATCGAGCATCGTTTGTCGGTTTGTCCAGGACCACTTCGATCATAACATTAGTCCTACTATTGGGTAAGTACCACACAAAATACCACTTTGGTTTTCGCTGGTCAGTGAGGTTTCAAATCTGACCCCTGAGTGATTTAAGTCCAGAGGTCCTACATCCAAAACAGTCTAAAGTGGAAAGCTCTTGACAAGACAAAAACCAAAACCCCGCAACCCAAGAGGCTGTGACCTGCACAATGATCAGGTCATCCCATAGTTTAGTAATGGCAGGAAGACTGTGGGAAGCCCTTAAAATACCTTGTTGAGTGTTCTGGTAGCCTAGGCTGGAACATGGACATGTTTCCCTGTATGGATGTGCTTTTGTCTAAGTTTAGGATGTGTCCTAATTTTGTTCCTATTTTCCTTTGTTAAAATAGGAACAATGCAATTTAAACTAAATATAATTAATTTATATCACTTCTTGAAAAACTACTAAGCTTCCATGTATGAGACCATTAGGATTCTTCCTAATAGTCCTGTAGTAGATTTTAATTCAGATTTTTCTTTTAATATCTTAGGGACAGATTTTCCAAGTCCAATGCAACTTATGGATCCCTTATGGGAAAGGAAGCTGTTATGGAATGTACATAAAGGAGTAATTTGGGGGGAAAGAGCTGATCTGGCATGTGTGTCAGAGGTGTTTTAAGTTCATCTGTGAGGGATTGGTATTGATTGCTGTGTGTTGTTCAGAGGGTTGGACAGTACCTTCTGAAGCTCTGCCTTTCAATGCATGGAGGAGTCTCAGCTGGAAGCTGCACATAGAAGTTCCAGGGCAATTTTGGATTCCTGAATGAGAATAGAGAAAAGTGCACAGGGAGAAAGGAAGCATGTCATGAATAAAATTACTGGCTGAAGACTTGTTTGCTGTGAAAGAATTGATGGCAACTTGAGTGGGTTTTTTTTTTACTTCTAAACTGTTAGCTGCCTTTTTCCCCAAGTAGTTGTTGTTGCTAAGTAAATGCCTTTTGCTCAATTTGGAAAACAATTTTCCTCTCTTATCATAATTATGAAAACTAAAGGGATTTTTTTTTCCATTGGGAGATTAAAAGCTAGCTAGCTAGCTAGCTTCACACAGGTGATATTATTTGTCTGCACAGATAAGGGGTTTTTTTCTTCCAAATTATTCAACTATTTCAAATATATAATCCTTGAATCAACAGTAGCAACTGTGGATCTATAAATTTCCCTTTTTTGAAGCTGTGAAATGTTGCTTATTGGTTTGTGAAGGAGAGTGACTACTGAGTGAACACACCCTGAAAACAACCAAAGAAATGCTGCCTTTTTTTCCCCCTTAGTTAGTATTTTCATAAACAATGCAGCATTGTTAAATTCAAGCAATTTGCAGATGGCTGTAGAGGAGAACTCTGCTATATCATTCTCAGGAAATGTTTTGTTCAGTCATATGTCATTTGATGTCATTCGGTGCTTTTGTAACGACCATGCATTGTATCAAATGCATCTTTATGAGCCAGGAAAAATGTTACCACAACAAAAATGGTTCAGCAGTATCCAGATAGGATGGGGAAAATAGAAATCTGCCAGAGTTTGGCAGTCTCTCCCACCAGCTTTCAAATTAACTGCTGTAATACAGAAAAAGCCTATCAATTTGTAACCTTCTTTCCTAAAGGAAAAAACTTTGAAAATATAGACCTATTTAATTTCCTCTTGAAAATAAAAGAAACTATGAAGACTTCTTCATCCCATTTGAAAGGGAGAACAACTTTTTTGCATTTGTTTACCAAACTTCATTACATATTTACATCTGTGCTCTCCAGCAGATGAGTTTTCTGTTCCCTGGTGATCCAGTGTCATATGTTAAAGTGAAAAGTGGCACACAGTGTTGTCTGTTGCCTTTTTCTCAGGTCTGTGCCACCAAGAAGATGGAGATAACAAGCAGCAGAAGCCACGTGTGAATGGCAGGAACATTTGTGTTCCTGGACCCATGAGGAAATGCCCTCTGAACTTCAGAGGCTTTTTCTTTCTTTTAAAAAAATACATCTATAGGTATCATATGTCCTATCTGAGAAAAGGGAGACTTATACTTCTACAGGTATTTTATCAAGGTTTTGGAGTTTTCCCCAAATGCAGTCTAATCCAGAAGAACTCACTGAGGTCTACAGGTTACATATTCAGAGTATCAGTTATGGTACAGATTTCTTTTTTCCTTATTTCCAGAGCATCCTTCATGACTAAAACTGTGCCATGTGGGAATGAGCTTCATAAATTTCTGATCTGGGACACAGCTGGTCAGGAGCGGGTGAGTATTAGTTTGCTTTCATGATCCTGGTCTCTCTGAATGTGTTGATGTACTTTTTCTAAACCTTTCATCTTCAGAAGATTTTGTAAATATCAACCTCCTGAATCTTTGCAAGGCTCTGCAATGCAGGTGGCCAGCAGGCACCAAGTATTCAGGTTCCCTTTCCATGGACGGCAAAAATGCAGAGACAGGCTGACCATATCACTTACCTAAAAAAGCCCCAAACCATGGTGTGAAATGTCACCCACCTTCCCCAAGACAGCTTGAGCAACAAGCTCAAGCTTGTTGCCCCAGCAACATCCAGTTCCCCTCTGGTTTTTCGGGCTTGTGTGTGGCAGCTCTCATTGGCGTTGGAAAGGCTTTGACTTGCAGCCCATGGGCTGGGTGGTCTGAATTTAGGTGGTGACTCCAGGATTGTCTTGGATTAGGATAGAGAATATGGGCATGGCTTGTGTCTGCTGTTAGTTTTTATATTATAAGAAATTACCACTTGAACCACTTTGGGTTTTTATCTTGATTTTTCTCAAGTGTATGAAGTGAATTGCTCAAATTGAGCAGCTTTTCCTTTGTCTTAAAAAAAAAACAAAACCCAAAACCAAACCATAACGGATTTTTGGGCATTAGTTCATCTGGATTTTATGTAAGTCTGGTTTATATTTTTTTTCTTTTAATATCCTCAGTGACAGTAGTGCAGTACTAGACTCTAGACTGTAGAGCTGTAGGTTTCTCTTAATTGTATGTCCACGTTTGTCTTGAGAAATGGAAAAACCTATGCACACTTCAAGAGCATCAGACTTGTGAAATGGCACAGTGTCTCTTCATAGGAAATTGTAGCTGTGCTCACATTAGCTTGGAATAAAATGAGATGCTTATACAGACTGGATGTCAGTCCTGATACATCCTACTGTATTCTCCATACTTTGTATATGAATTGTGGGCAAAGAAGATTTTTACTCTTAATTCCAGGAAATGTTTGTGCTTTTATTTATAATGCACAGTGTGAGATAACGTGACTCTGATGAAATCTGTTGGCTTATAACAATTCAGTAAGTTATTTGTCATGGGAAAATGGACCTTGAAAAACATATTTGGAGCCTAATTCCTTCCCTTGAATCTTGTTTGTTCCATTTCTGCATGGTCTGGAGCTGATAACTGACTAATTATTGCAAGAGCTAGCAAAAGTTTGGTTTACTTTCCCATGGTTTCAGTTTCCTTGATTATTTTCTCTCTTTTCCCTCCACTGCCCTGCTCTCCTTGCTTTTTCTTTTCTTTTTAGCACTTTACAAACAAAACTCAGTTGGATTAATACTTATATCAAGATTTGCCTATTTTCCTACATAGTCTAAGGACTCTCAAAGCCCTCTAAAATTAGGTGAAATAGTAATATTCATATTTACATATTTACTGAAACAAATGATGCCACATTTGAGGCAGGAAATCTGTGACTGAGCTCTGACTCTTAGACTCAAAATTCATCCTTCCCAACTAGTCCCTTATATTTCCTCTCAATATTTTTTAGCTCACCATTTTTCAAACATCTGCTTTCCCTTTTTTTTTTTTTTTGTGTGTAACTGTGGTGAGCAGTGAGCACCACAAACTTTGTTAGATGGCTTAGAATTTATTACAGATCTGGCATGTTAAATGTTTTCATTGATTAGTAATCACGAATTAGTCCAGGAAGCTTCTGTTTGTTCTGTGTTTGCACGTTATATTCCCAGTCTTTCACTAGGACTAGGAAAGTGTAGTGATGTAGTAAACCAAGTTCATTGATGTTGAGTGCAAGCTATGGAGGCAGACAGATTTCCCAAGGTGAGGTCCATACTAGTCCAGTTCATTCGCTGTCCTGAACATTCCTGTTTTACATTGCAGCTAAGCATATGATGCTTCTCAATATCTTACTCACTTTAATCAGGGATTTTTGGTTGCTTTGTTTTGTGTTCCTCCTTCTGATTTAAGAAAAATATCTCACTCCTGTTAAATTTTTTCTAGTTATCCTCTGAACAATGATGACCCAACATTTCCAGCCTATCCCATTCTCTGGGCCTACTGCTGTTTTTACAGTGTACTAATAGATGTCTTCTGAATGTTCTTTCTGCTTTGAGAATTGTCCTTCCCTTGTTCTTTGAAATTTTTGTCAAGGCTTTGTATTCCACTGCTGAAGCCTGGCAGTTTTGTCAGTCTGAGAGCAGTGTTTAGGGCTCCCTGCTCTTTCAACACTGCCTTCATTTGCCTTCGCTCTCCTAAATGCAAAGCCAAGCACAAGCTTCTGCTTACTCTGGAGTTGGGGTGCCCTGTGCTTGCCCAGCTGTGTCAGCTGTGCTGATGTGGAGCCTTCCCAGCAGAAGAGCCCTGGGCTGAGATTTAACTGAGGTGAAATCTCAGCCCAGGCCTCACTTACGCCTAAGGCCAAGCACAGGCTTCTGCTTACTCTGGAGTTGGGGTGCTCTGTGCTTGCCCAGCTGTGTCAGCTGTGCTGATGTGGAGCCTTCCCAGCAGAAGAGCCCTGGGCTGAGATTTAACTGAGGTGAAATCTCAGCCCAGGCCTCACTTACGCCATGAAAGTTGAGCTCAAAGCTTCGCCATGGTAGAGCGTGCAGGCAGAAACAGCAGTAGTGGCACTTCTGTGATCCTTGTTCATGAGTTCATCCTTTTTAATGAGTTTTCATTTCCCTGTTCTTGATTTTCTCTGGGAAACTGCTAGCTTGGAGTCAATGCTGCAGAGTGACAATAATGCAGCAGAAAATGGAGATTAAAAGCTTTTCTATTGTATCCCTGATGGGGATGAATGCTGAATGTACTTCTTAGGAGGGGACCCTGGAGAGGGGTATGTGGCTTGTGGTGAAAAATTCACACAGTACATGATTATAAAAGGAGAGAGAGCTTCTTAATCCTTTTATCTTGTTTCTTTTCTTTCCCTTTTTCTTGACTAGAAAGAAACAAGCTGGCAAACAAAATCCCCCTATCTTCTGTGCCTAAGTACTGGTCTCCGTGGACCTGGTTGCTTTGTGTTGGTGTGCTATCCAACAAACTCGCTTTATTTTTTCCTTCAGTCACCTTCCCTCTACACCAGTATTTCCCAAATGTCACTTTCCCCCCTCCTATCTCACGTTTCCCCATTAGCTTTGAATTGTTGCAGACTTTGGGACTTACATGCCCGACAATTATGTTGTTATTAGCAAAGATTCCTTCCCCTAAGAAGAATCTCCTCGCAAGTTAGTTAATGATGTTTTTATTAGCATATATTTTGGTTCATGGTGCCCTAAGTAGCTTTTAATTACAGTGTTTTGTTTGAATACCTTGGGTGGCTGCCAGCTTTCTATTTTGCCAGCTGAGGAATATTGTAGCAAACAGGGAGTCTGAGGGCCGTGTTTCTAGGGCAGCAAAATTTATCTCTGTCCTTTTTAAATTTACTGTGTTGAACTCTGGGACTTTTAATTTTGTTTAATAGAAGAGGCCTCAATTACTTGGGCCCAGTTTAAAGCTCGATAGGAATTATCCTGAGTTGTGAACTTTTTGGTTTTTTGTTTTTTAACCTTCTCCATTTTCAGGAAGAGACTGACTGATGATATGTCCACAGCTCTTTATAGCTGCCTCTTTTCTGAGTGGCAGTAGTTGTCCTGGTGATGCAGAGACAATGGCACAACACCATCTATCAATGACTTGAATTATTTCTGCAGGCAAAACACAGCCTGAATTTTGCTCTGTGGTGTCATAAATGTGGCTTTGATGGTCTCCCACAGCTCAGTCAGAGTGGGGATGGTTCATTGTGTGTGGTGTGAGGACCTCTTGCAAGCTGCAGATGTTGACAGGTGATTTGGCAGTGTGTGAAAGCACAAGTGGCATTAGAGCTAGCAAGCAAATATTTTTACTACTTTCAGAGTGAGCATAAAGCACAGTAAATCATTTAAGGGATGCATTTAAATGTGGTTTTTTTCAGCAAACTTGCAGCACTTGTAGCTTGGTGTTGAGTCATGGTTTTGGTGTCTTGTCTTTTGCATCCTTCGTTAAATGACTGTAAATTCAGAATGGCTAAGCACAGGTCACTTCTGTGATGTTGCAAAGGTTTGTTTTCTGCCTTTTTAAAATACCTTTAAAAGGTTAACCTAAAATGTTGAGATTTTTCCTTCTTCAGTTGAAGAATTCTTAGGCATTGGAAAAAAAATGCTCACTCTTTTATATATATAGACGTGTATTTAATCTTCAGTTTAACTAGCAAAAAATACCTGTAGATCAGGGACAGATCTTTCCTGATTTACTCAGCTTGCAAATCCTGAGAGCTGGAATTTCAGCCTTTAATCATGTAAGGAAAACTACTCAAGGTTTTAAAATGCTAAATGGTATCTGAAAGTGGCTTTCATGCATAACATTTTTCCCATTTGCTCTTTGCCAGCTGAGAATGTCAGGAATTTTGTATCCCTCCCCTGTTCGAGGAGCTTGTGTGTCAGGATAATCTGTTTAATGCTTTAGGGTTTTGCCTTTGCTTCTCTCTGCACCACCACAATTTTCTGTTTGTTGGCAGCCACTGCCTTGGAGGTGGCAGGAGTGGGGCATGTAACTCCCCAGACTTGGGCAAATGTACTTCAGGTGGTTTTTGGGACAGGACTGAAGGGGTTTTGTGGGAGTGGCCTGGCAGGAAGGGCCAAGGGCAGGAGAAACAGGACACCCAAAATCACCTGCAGAGGTGTGGGAATGACCTGCTGAGTGAAGGAACGTGATATATGTTTGAGATAAGAGTCCAGAAAGCACGAGTGGGTGTAATAGGAAGGGGAAGGAAGTGGCAGGGCTGTGACGCTGCCTTTGCACGTGTTAGCAAGCAGCTGAGCCAGAGGCTGTGGCAGTCCTTGCCATTAATGGCACCCAGATAAAGAGTAAGAGTATCTTAGACTTTGAGGATCTCTGACTTTGAGAGGAACCAAGTGGTTTGATCTTGGCCACATATGTTGTCAGGGAATAGCTTCATAGGAAAGGGAATGAAATTTAGTCAAATGATCACAGCTGTC